GTTGTGTCTTTAACGGACAACTTATCACATAATGATTTTGTTGTGGCAGTAATATTGTCACGGATTTTTGCTTAGCAAATGCCCATTATGAGTTTATCTTGAATTGGGATCATAAAATATTGTATAGAAAAGAAATGTTCGAAATCGCTTCTGTGTGGTTTCATTCTAAGAAATTTTTAAGAAAAAGAGTTCGACGAGCCGGGATTTAATCTTTCACGGGGTTTTGGTTTTTCATAATTGGGTTCGAATCCTGCCACCTTTCTTATGTGCATTATGAGTGACGATCCAAATTCATCACATATAGAGTGACATACGTGACAATATAAATCATCACAAATAGTGATTTCAATGACAACCAAACTAGGCATAGACCATACATCGAAATTTCTAAAAGGTATTTGTGACAAAACTATGATCACACATGGCGATTATTTGTGACAATTAAGCATGTCACTGATGTTGTTTTCATATCAGCGCTACCTTATCACAAAAAGGATCTTTATTGACGACAACAATGTTACACAGATATTAGTATTGGGTAAGGAAAAAATTGTCACAGTTGGGTGAGTCATTTGTGACAATTTGAACTTGTCACGGATTAAAATTTAAATGTTGCAAAAACTAGTTAAAAACGTTGCCTATGTTCATAAAACGTGTTGCAAAAAATTTGAAATGTGTTACCTAAAGTGGTGTTGCGTAAGAGGTAAGATTGCGCTACCCTTTTTATTTTGGTTGCGAGAAATGAAAAACTAGTTGCCTATTCTTATTGCAACCCCATTATAACAACCCTAGTAAAAGTGTTGCGCTAGGATGTTGCAACTCTTCCAAAACTTTACGCAACATATTTTGTAGGGTTGCAAGAGACCCTTTTTCCCGTAGTGATCTTAACTATGAGGGTTGAGATGATATGACAATTAGAGCAAAACCCCATGTTATTGAGTTTTCAAAATTTGATTAACAAGGAGATGCGTTATTGTGGTTTTATGTTGTTGACAGGTAGCAGGGCCGGCCCATAATATTTGGAGACCCTGCTTTCTGAAATTTAAAATGTGATAATTTCTCGCAAATTTATTAAAAATAATAATAAATAAACAAATAAATAAGTTCGGATATTCCTTTGTAATTCTTCGAGTTTTTTAGGTTTACCCTCTATTAATAATTTTGGAAATCCCATATATATTATGACCTGAATCACGTCGATTCGTTTTTGAATCTCTATACGTGAAATTCCCTCAACACCAGAAAAAAATTTCATATTTTTTGTAGATAATTCTTGATACAGTTTCTTATTTTTTGATCTTCTTGTAGACCTTTAGAATAATTTTTTAATAATATCATCTATCAATATTTAAAAAGTAACTATTAATACTTAAAAAATTATGTACCCGTTGGCTTACAACAACAATATAATTAACAGATAAATCCATTAATTCCTCTCTTAGCCGTTGGTAATTATACAACTGTATACTTACCCCACTTTCGAGGCGGTCCAACTAATTGATGAATAAAATAAATTTTCAGTCAAGAACTTAAAGTGAAAAGAGCAGAGCAGAGGCCCACGTGTAATTAGAACTAATTATTGTCTATGGCCCTGAGTTAAGTTATCATGGGCCTGAGTCCATAGTTAGTAAAATACGGTACGGGAAAATTACGTATAGAATACGTATGGATATTTTACTTCGTCTCTATGCTAATGTTATGTTTAATAGTATGTTAATTTTCACAAATGTAGAAAAATAATATATTGTAAAAATAAACATATATATTCATAATAGTAAAATTAATAATTTAATTTATCAAATACGGATATTAAACGTGTTTTACGAGTTTTATACGTGTTTAATACGAGAGCCATCAAATTAACGGGAAAAAATGAAATGACTTGATAATAATACGGATACGAAAGTTTTAAACGGATAAAATACGTACGGGTACATATACGTGTATTAAACGGAGTATTTACTAACTATGGGCCTGACAACAACATATAATTAAGTCTCTCCATCCTTTTCTGCGGCCCATGCATACTAGGCCCATAATTTAGTTGAAGCACACATCTACTACATAGTATTTGATGGAGGCTTTGAGGCCCTGCGATGTGGGCCTGACCAGCACAGGGCCTAGACCGGGGCTGACAGGTGGTTCAAGAACAATCCGACTATAAAGAAGAGGAAGGCGCATCTTTTCAAACACTGTTTGAATAAGGATGTTTGGTGTATGGGGGATTAACGTTACTTCATTAGGCTAAGTTATAGTTAGGCTAGTACAAGAACATAATTTGTTATTTTTATATGATTAGGATAACATATACTCGTGTAACTTATTCAATGATTATAATAAGACAAATTGTTAGTCGATATGAATTAAATTAGTTACAAGCTACTATATCATCATGTTAAAGGAAGAGATGGGGAAAGTGGAGGGCTAAGACATGAGACTGAGAGACGAAATAAATAAACAAAATAATATGAGGGGGGGGGGGGGGGGGGGGGGGGGGGGGGGGGGGGGGAAGGGAGGGAGAGAAATTTGCTTCCCGAGAGGAAGCATGGGAGGGAGTTACAAGTTGTTATGGGGTTGGAGTGGGTTGGCGTTTCGTTGGAGATTTCATTTCACACTCATCTCTCATTCATTTCCAATCACGCTCTCTTCATTACAATCGTTGTTGGGTCTATCTCTCTCTCTCTCTCTCTCTTGAATTTGATGGCCAGCTAATCCAAACCGAGAACTGCACGTGCAGATGGCTCAGAGTCAGAGATACAGCCAACCAAGCATAAACTCAAAACCAAAGAAATACAATATGAGAAACAAGCAAAGCTAGCTAGAGGAGGACCCAATCCAATCAAATCAACTGAGGACTGAGGTGTGTCTTTGGTTACAAAACAAAGCTAGCTATTACAAGAGTTGACACCTTCTACTGCAGGCGCAGGGTTGGAGACAAGGCCAACGATGTGAATGAATCCTACCTTATACTATACAAATCTCGCAATCCAACCAGCTCTAATATTATTGGTGGAGACGAATCTGACTTTCAACCCTGCACATTACATATGATGAATAGCTAAGTAGGAAAGCAAATCATAGAGTGTGGCAGTTGAGAGAGAGAGAGAGAGAGTGGCCCAAACCTCGTGTGCTTCCCACGTCCCTTACCTTGCACGTCACTTCTCTTTCCCCCTTTCATGCACTTGGCAATGCTCAACGTACATTTTGCCACAGACGTAGCCATGTATTGTATTGTATTTATTCCCCAAGACACTACAACTCTTCTTCTTCCTCTTCTTCTACTGCTACCCGTAATTGAAACTACGTACCACACTCGTTTAGTTTTGACCAGACCAGTCCAGTCCAGTCCAGTCCATGAACAAATGGAAGTCTGGTGTGTGAAAAGCCTGCAGAGATCGTTGGCAGTTGCGATAAATAGAACAAGCAAGAAGGAAGGGTGGAGCTGAGCCCGATCCTACTTTTTTTGTCTCGACTCTCGAGGAGATGTACCAAATGTGATGGATGGATGGATTCCTTCCGACTCAATCATGTCTGCTGTGCTGACTCCTCAGCCCAAAAGATACCCGGATTTCACCTTGGGTATAGTAGAATTCCATATATATATATATATAAAGAGACAAAAAGAGAGCCATTAATTTATTGCTGCCAAAGCAATGCTCCCCCCAAATCAAAATTTCACTAATAGCAGCAACAGCAGTTTCTAGTTCTAGGAGACTGTTAGGTTAGGTGTGCAATGCTTCCTTCCTTCCTTCCTTCCACTGCTGCATTTTCTGCTGATATGCAATTCGGTTTGGTTGGTAAAGTAAAGCACACTAAAAATAGATTCTTCTATTTCCAGGAACGGGACTTTTAAGAAGAATGCCATTCAAATCAAGGATGTGGAATTCCATAATTTGTCCTTTTTGGGCTCTGCAACCAATAGATTTTGTTCATTCATAATATATAGTATATATATTCGCCTCAGCTCTACAGTTGCAGTTGCAGTTGCAGTAGCACAGGCCATGGCGCAGCCCCCATCTCCTGCGGAAGGAGAGGCAGAGCCAGAGATCGATCCGCCATTATAACTTATATTATCCCATGATGATTTCTTTCTTTCTTGTTTTCTTTTCCCGACTCTCTGCTCATTCAAGTCCGTACAGCGCCAAGCATATCATGCACCCATTTCCCCGTAATGGATAAATCTCTGCCAAAGAAAATATACTAGGACTAGGAGGAGAGCTGCTACTGCAAATCCAAACCTTATTAATTTCAGCCACCCCTACCTAGCTACATCGCAGAAAGAAACTGGTATCTAGTTTCCAACTAATCAAACCAACCCAACCATTCTTACCCAACCCAACCATGCGTGCAATATATATATATATATATATAGAATGAAAAGGGGGTCATCCATTTTTCAATTCAACTAAACTCTGCCCATTACAGAACACCTCTGGCTAAGCCTTTTTCTGCAAACAAGTCCATAAGTTGACTGCAGGGGAGAAACAAAAACGCATATTTTACTATTATTATCCATTACCACTAGAAACAACAAATCAAAGTGGGGATCAGACGCACTTCGCCCAAGGAGAAGCTTAACAATTATTAGTTATGATTACTGGGGTTATTCATATCTTATCTTGTATTTCCTCTGGCTATCCCCCACCCCACTCTCTCGTCCAACTTGCAACATCACTGAATCTATATTACCTTCAATAAAGGCCCCCAGCCCAGACTAGGCTCCACATTTGTTTCCCTGGATTGCGGATGTACTTTGATAGTAATTCAAGCAAGTTCGTACAATTTCGTATCAAAGAGATTCATTACATATTTTTGCGTTTAAAAAAACAAACAGCCAAGGAAAGAGGATGCAATTTAACACTCACTTCCATCGCTCCCTCCCTCTAAGCTACCCGTCAGATCACCCATTTAATGCTTTTTGCCAAAGCTAGCACATACTCTTATCTCTCAAATGTATATTTATATATATATATATAGACCGACCTTTCTCTCACTTTCATGCAATGCAATGTAACCAATCCATCCAGAGCTTCCTTTTCCTCTCTCCCCAACTTCCAACTCCTCCTCTATCTTTCTCTACTTTACACCAAAGGGAGGAATTTCACTTACAATGAAAGCGAAGCAGCTTGTGGAGACATGCATGAGCAAGTGGAGAAAGATGGGGAGCAAAGTCATACCCTGTGGAGGCTGCGACTACTGCTGCAAAGACCACTGGGGGTTGTGGGCTGCTGTCAATGAATCCAAGTCCATTCCCAGTGACGTTCCAAAGGGCCATCTAGCTGTATATGTAGGGGAAGATTACAAGAGGTTCGTGATCAAGATTACCTTGCTGAAGCACCCTTTGTTCAAGGCACTGCTGGAGCAGGCTAAGGACGAGTATGACTTCACTGCTGCCGACTCCAAGCTCTGTATTCCCTGTCACGAGAAGATGTTCCTCCATGTTCTTCGATGTGCCAGCTCCCCCCAGCCCCAGCAGGGCACAACTTTTCTTTGCCTGTGACCTTTTCTTGGAGGAAGGACACGGGTATATATTCACCATAGAATTCTTAAGAGGATTGAGCTAATATATATCTCCCCACTCAATCGATCCATAAATTAACTGGATATGGCATACACTAAATATGTAGAATTTTGTAATATAGGGAGACGAAGTCTTCTCCTGGGTTGGAGAAAAAGGATGCCATGCAATCAGAATTAGATGGATTTATTGTGTGATTGAAATCTTAAGTCCTTTAACGTACTTCTTCTATAGTTACATGAAGCTGCCCAAACTTGCACTACATTAATAATGCTTAATCTATTATCTAACATTATTCTGGAACCATGAGCAAGCTATATGCTAGTGGTCTACTTAAATGACTTCTGGAAGAGGTAAATTGCAACATCAGGCTTCTGCCCATAATCAAGGGATTCTCTGAATCGACAAACCTCTTGGAATATAGCAAAAGCTCCTTCCACAGTCCATTTTCATTCTTTGCCTCCGTGCCCTGTTCGAACTTGTGTCGAAGCCAGCCAGCAAGTCAATCTGGTATTGATGCAAGCATTTCGTACCAAATGGAAGTAACAGAGGCTTGTTCTACCAACAACAACAACAAAAAACAAGTAACAGAGGCTTGATGTTGAGCTGAATTGTTATGGTTTAGTCACAGCCACAGAACGCACAAAACCGGAGGACTTTTTCTTAACAAACTTTCACCAAGTATCTTCATTGTTAATCTTGATGATCATAAACTACAAACAATACAAATGCAAGTACACTTAAATACGTGGATATAACAAATGAAACTGATCGTTATCATTGAGTCGTGCTTCAGTCGGACATAGAGCAGTAGAGAAAGCACTAAACATGCACACAAACTCTCAATACAGAGGAAAATTTGTACCTCTATCAAGATCAACGACAGAAAGGCGTATTTTGCCCAGTTCTTCAGAACAATGCTCTGCAAGAATGGAAATATACACATGGAAGGCATTCATTTCTCGCACAAAAGAATATACACAGTAGTATATTTTTCCCCATTCTTTATAGAGTGTACATACAACAGATAGGGCTCACTCCAGAGTGAGCAAAACCAGCCGATATTCCAAGTGCAGACTTACAAAAACATCAACACACAAAAGCACTGAAAGGTCTTCACTGCTTTGCTATTCTAGCTTTGCAGCTGCTAAATCAGCATATGCAAATGGAAGCATTCATTTCCATATACATCATCAATGATCATCTCAGGCCATCAATTAGCCCTTCCAATTCTCTCCTCCCAAACCTTCTTCCTTCAGAGTGAGCTTCCTTGCACCTTGCTGCAAAGTAAAATATCAGCCAGGCCACCATGAAGTAAACCTCCACAACCGATTGAAGTATTGCAGCCAAGTACTTCCCCAATACCCGGGATAAGACCCATCTAGTTGCAGATCCACAGAGTATAGCTTCCATACACTTCAACTGAACAGCTTGGTGAAACATTGTTGATATCAAGTAACAACCTTCCTTTACTATCTCCCTACCAGTCCTCCTGGAATCAACAATTGTAACCCAAGCATCCACAGCAAATACTAACCCCACCAAGGTATCCAACAGAAACCAAGTAAACAAGAAGCCTGATATCTCCTTCTCGTAACCACCAATCCACGGAGACATAACAGAGAAAGGCATCAGCTTTAGCCTCACAAACAGCTTGAAAAACGAGTACTGATCCTCGATTTCTCCAAAGTAGCACAATCCCACAAGTTGAGTCAAAGCATCCCTCACTGCCCATCTCATAAGAATGAAGCCTGTAAGTCTCTTGAGCCCTAATCTCGACCCATCCCACACGATACCGACAAATGAACTGAACCTCTCCAACAGATCATTCACCACGGCAACGAACACAATCCCTAACATCCAGGAATACATTGCCGTGAACCCGAGGATCACCCATCCATAAGCCGCAGACAAGAAACTTACTAGGTAGAAGAGCGCCGCCGCATCTCGGCGGCCGAGCTCCAACCCCTTAACGAAGAACTGGAAATCAACAACACGGTCCAGGTCCCGACCTTTCTGCAAACCCATCGACTGCCCATTTTCATCCTCTGGTTGATGGCTCCCATTGCTGTCGTAATCAATCTTTTCCGCTTTAATATCTTCAAAGGGCAGACTGTCGGCCTTGAATTGAACCCCGGAGCGAACAATTTCCGGAACCCTAACTCCGTTATCGACGACGAAGTGCGAGAACCCGAACCCTGAGTGGAAGTTGTTGAGAATTACGGAGCTTGCATTTGGGGGAATCTTGCGATTCGGACCGAAGAGCGAGCGATCAGAGTCGTCGTCCCCGGAGAAGAAGTCGTCATCTAGGGTCCCAACACGGGTGAGGTGGAGGAAGTGGCGGCGGTGGAAGCGAGGATTGTGGTCGTGGATGGTATTGGGGTTCTGGTGGTGGCCGCCTAGGTCAAGGCGGGATAGGAGGGATTTGAGGGACGGGTCACGGTCGATGAAGGAGGTGAGAAGGTGGGTGCCATTCTCGACGAGGGCTCGGAAGGAAAAGAGTAGGAAAGAGAGGAAGAGAAATGTGAGGAGATTCGAAGAGAAGGAGGCGGTGGCCTGTCTGATTAGATGGGTCGTTCGCCGGAGATTGTCGATGCTCAGCCGCTGCGGCTGATCGGTCATCGTTTGATTTGCGATAAAAGAACAAGAAAACCGAGAGAGAGAGAGAGAGAGAGAGAGAGGGTTCAGGGTTAATGCGAACGGAAAGTAGAGAGAAGCAGGCGGATGCGATTGCTAACACTATGTTTGGGAAAGGGTGTAAATAGAAGGGGGTGCAAGTTTGGAGGGGTAAACACAAGTTCCAAGGTGTTTACCCCCGTTTGGTTATTTTGTAATAGTAGGGGGGTGCAAAACGTGAGCGTAAATTCACTGTTTCGGCTTACCCCCCAAATTGGGGTGCAAGGGAAGGAAGGAAGGGAGGGGGAAGGGGGAGGAGGGGAATTATGAATTTTTAATTAGATTATAATTACATAATAATTAATATTATTAATTTTTTCTTATATCTATATTAGTGTAGAAGTTGTTTGGGGTTGACCGTTTGACTCATAGAGCAAGTTTGTCAATGTTCGCCTCGTCAAATCGATATTTCTTAGTTGACCCGAATTTGCATTGAAAATTAGAGATAAGAAGCGTTTGTTGAAAAGATAGAGAGGAACAGTTTAGTTAACTCGATTTACTTTAATAAGTAGTTAAAACTTACAGATTCGAACGTGTTTGACTAAGTTTGACCATATTCAATTTAAAGTTAGGCACGAGAACCCCGTTAGGATGACTAGTTACGAGTTGGATTTCGAGTTTCGAGGTTGCTCAACCAATGATTATTATTGTTGTTATAAATAATTATATTTGAGCATTATTATATAATAATTATTTTTATTAAAATTATTTTTATTTATTATTTTTATTATTATATATTGAATTTTCATGTTATTATTTTGTGATAATATTTTATAAATTGATAAATTTATTTTATAATAATATAATTACTTACTTTTTACTCTATTTGCACCCCCCTACTTTTTCATCCAAACAACAATTTACCCCTCCACTTACACCCTCCACCAAGTTGCACCCCCCAACAATTTACCCCTCAACTTGTACCCCCCTCGAACTTGCACCCCCCTTGTTGCCAAACATAGTGTAAGAGATTTGCGATTCCGGAGTTCAGACTTCAGACCCAGACGCAGAGGGACAGTGTTTGTGGTGCTGGCGAAATTTGTGTAACAAAGCGAGTTCGCCACTGGTATACCAACCGGAAACGGGTATTTTGGTAATAACCCAAATCCGTCCTTTTTTTAGAGTTATCGATGTTCAACTACTCGTTATATTTGTTACGAGATGGGTTTTGGTATTAAAAATCTCAACTTCGGGTACCCTTAAGTTACCCGCTAATACCCATTTGGGTAGTTTCGGTACTTGTATTACCCATTAGAATTATTAAATTTATTTAGCCCAAATCTAAAATCCAGCTCAAGCCCAGTCGTAGTCCAGCCCATTTCCTAAACTTTAGTAGGCCGTCAGGCCCTCTCTCTTACCTCTCCCCTCACTCGGCCCTCGGGGACTACTCTCCCCTCCAATCGGAAGTCTTGTGTCTCGACTTGCTGCAGTTGCTGCCTGCTGCTCTCCATCGAACTCGCCAACTCGGAAGGAGGCAGAATGCAATAGTGTAGACATTCCATACATAGTTTCAGAGCAAGAATGTTGCTTTGCCCTGAGCCCGACGACGACAACTCTCCCTGACTCCTTGATTCGGGCCTAATTGCACATGTTTTGCCCTCGTTTTACTTAGGCGTTTGTGCCAAATTCACTCCTTAAGGTTGGTTTTATGCTAGGTTCTTCGTGTTCGAGTGTGTTTCAGGATTCAGCAGATGAAACACGCCTCGGAGTTGAAAGATTGGCGAAAAGGATCGAAAACCGGGAGAAGAGGTGAAAAAGAGCCAGTTCACGGCTAACAAAGGGAGTTCACGGTCTTGCATTACCGTGAAGAAGAGGAGTGGACCATGAATTGCGAGGCGTCCAGAGCCAAAGTGAAGGTTAGTGACGCAAGGTGAGTTCACGGTCACTAAGACCGTGAACAAAGGCAGTTGACCATGAACTCGAGTGAACGATGCGGCGTGTTTTGGCGCACGCCTGCAGTTCACGGATGCGTTTCATGGTTCATGGCCGTGAACTCAGGCCATGAACTAAGCTTATCTCTAGTTTAAAAGATGAGCTTAAAGGAGGAGAGAGAGAGAGAGAGGAGAGCCCATTTGGTGGAAAAGCCTTCTTCTACATTCTAGAGAGAGAAACACGGACCGAAAGGAGAAGAAGGCTAGGGTTTAGCTTCAAGACATATTCTGGGAAGATTTCATCCAAGGAAAGCTCAAATCAAGGGCCAAGAAGACTGGTAGCATCCTTCAAAGATGGTTTACATCTCTTTCCCTTTTCTTTTCCCCACTTCTAGCATGGAGTAGACATGCTTTCACTTGGGTGTTGTGAAACCCTAACTCTACCATGTAGTTTTCTTTTATGTGTATTGGATGATTGTCATTGGGTATTGTTCAATTCAATGATAGGGGTATTATTTATCAGGATTGTGCATGCTTATGCTTCGCAACTTAGGGGTTGTGCATGTTTTGTGCTCTTTCACATAGCATGGTAGCAGTTAAGGGGGGAGCGACACCCGAGTGATCTTTCCACCAAAGAGTTATCAAAACCATTTACCTTTGCTTTCTTTCATTTCAATTAGCAAACCTTTAAACCAAATTTTGTTGCTAGATTATGATTTCAACAACTAAAGTAGGGGTAAACGGACCGGCCCGGGTCGATATCTAAATACTTGCCCTATACTACACCCGATTAGAGTTTAAAAACTTGGGCTCTAGTTAGGATTTTATTGTGGTGTAGCTTCGTGCGAGTCAAGTTTTTGGCGTCGTTGTAGGGGAACACGATTTGTTATTCTCAAAAAGTTGTTGGTTGTTAATCTGGCTTTTAATTTCCAGTTTACAAGTGTGTGTTCTTGGCTTGTGCTAGACTTGGTGTGTTTTCCGAATGTGTGTAGGCGGTGCATGACCCGGAGCAACCCGGCACCTTTGCTACCGCTTGATGAGGAAATAAACCGAACTCTCCGACTCCTAGCACGGGAGAGAGATCTAACGGAGGCAAGGAGAAGAAGTGAAAGAGGGGGACAACGTTTGGGTCTCGGTGTTAGTGGAGAAGTAGTTGAAGAAGTGGAAGTTGAACCCGTCATTGAAGTGAAAATGGCGGGAAACCAAAGGCAAGATGGAGCCGCTCAAGCCCTTCAGTTGAACGATGCGACAGAGGAATAGGATGCCCCGAGGACGATGGGGTACTATATGGCCCGAAGGCCGGCAGACATTCAATCGCCATCCTACATCCTCCAGTGGCGACAAACAATTTCGAGATCAAGCCGGCTCTAGTGACTATGATACAAAGTAATGCCCTATTACACGGCTTTGAGAGCGAGTCACCAAGAGAACATGTGCAGAGATTCTTGGAGCTTGCGGGGAGTTTGAAAATTAATGGTGTGTCGGTCGAAGTTTTGCAACTAAGGCTTTTCCCTTACTCACTCTCGGGGAAAGGTACCTCGGTCTATCAACTCATGGGACGACCTCCTCAACAAGTTTATGGCTCGTTATTGCCCGCCTTCGAAGATGGCGGAGTGGAGAAAGAAGATTACACATTTCTAGCAAGAAGAGGACGAGACCTTGAGGGATGCTTGGGAGAGGTACTCCGATTACTTTCTTCAGTGCCCTCACCACGGGTGTGAAGAACAGTTCTGGATCGAAACCTTCTATGGAGGCCTAATGCAAGAAGATAAAATCCTCATTGACTCCTTTTGTCAAGGGAAATTGATGAATATGGCTCCACCCCAAATAACCGAGATACTTGAAGACATGGCCCTTTGGAGATACGATTGGGGGTTGACTATAAGTGGAAGAAAAAGCAATGATAGGGGAGTGAGAAGCATGGGAGCGAGTGCTCCGCTTGAGGCGAAGTTGGATAAGTTGCTTGAGGTTATGCTTGAAGATAAAAGGCAAGGAAAACGAACGGTAATGTCGTGCGACTAGTGTTCGAGCACTAGCCACGAGATGGCAGAGTGCCAAGCAATGAAGGAGGCAACCACTCTGGAGGAACAAGTCAAATTCGTGGCAAATGCTAGGGTCAACAACCCGTATAGCAATACTTATAACCCCGGATGGAGGAACCACCCCAACTTCTCTTGGTCATCACCGACTAATCCGAGGCCTCCGGGTTTTCAAGGCCCCACGGGAAATTTCCAACCTTGGTCATTCAACAAAGACCTCAACTCCAAGGCTCAAACTTCCAACAACCGTATCAATCACAAGGTGCCCTAGGGTTTCAACAACAACAACCCGACAAGTTATCAAAGCTTGAGGACCTAGTGCACACCTTTGTGAGTACGAGTAGCCAAAAGGTCGAAAAGATTGAGCAATTTATGGATGTGGCAACTACCAAGTTTACCTCAGTTGAGGCGGGTCTGCGAAATCATCAAGCGGGCCTTCAAAACTTGGAGGTGCAAATCGGCAACCTTACTGGTATCCTCACCGAGAGACCCAAGGGAGCTTTACCTTCCCAAACCGTGGTGAACCCCAAGGACCAAGTGATAGAGAATGAAGATTCCAACAAGGAAGAAACCATCCCGAAGAAGGGAGAAAAGAAGTCCTCGGGAATAGAGGAAGGCGTCAAGGAAGGCATTGCCAGAGGATGGATACGTGCCACCTCTTCCTTATCCCACAAGAATGTACAAGGAGAGGTTAGAGAACGAGTGTGGAGGGTTCATGGAAATGCTCCGCAACCTCCACCTCAACATCCTGTTCCTTGAAGTCATGGCTCAAATGCCAAGATATGCCAAGTACCTCAAAGGATTCCTCATCGAGAAGCCAAGGCTTGAAGGCCTCGCCAACTTAACTCTTGGCGAGGAGTGTTCGGCTTACCTCCTCGACTGCTTGCCCAAAAAGCGGTCCGACCCAGGTAGCTTTACTAACCCTCTTGATATTGGTGATCACCATATAGACAATGCCTTGGTGGACCTAGGAGCTAGTGTGACTGTGATGCCCTACAAGCTTTTCAAAAAGTTAGAAGTAGGTGAACTTAAGACCTCTAAGCTTAGCATCTCCTTAGCCAACCGTTCGGTCATTAGCTCGAGAGGTATAATGGAGGACATGATGGTGAGAGTGGACAAGTTTTGCTATCCCACCGATTTCGTGACTCTCGACATAAGTGAGGACTCAGATATGCCCCTCATCCTCAGTCGTCCCTTTCTTGCAACCACCAAGGCATTGATAGACGTTAATGAGGGAACCCTAATTTTGTGGGATGTTAAGGAGAGAATCAAGCTTGAAATTGATCCTAGGGTTTGGAGTGATGAAGTGAAGAGAGTGATTTCAAATGATGTGAATGAGAGTGGAGGAGAGCCTCTCAAGGCAAACCCCACCGTTACTTGTGTTGATGATGTTGAGCAGGAAGTTAAGAAGGGTCCTAAGCCCAAAGGATCGAGGAGGAGTGCTTGGAGAAGAAGGATGAAGGGAGTTTTAGTCCGGAAGATGGGGGAGGCCGAAGGAATGTTAGCCAACCAAGAGGGCCAACTTAAGGAGCCTAAGATGGGAGGCTACAAGCCTCGGTCCGAGAGTGTGGTGGATCCGCTCTCGGTGGCATCATGTTTGAAGTCGTGATTGATCAGTAACTGTCAAGCTAATTACGATAAACAAGCGCTTGTTGGGAGGCAACCCAACGGAGGTTTGTTTTCTTTTCCTTAGTTTTCATTTTAGTGTTTTGTGAAGAGTTCAAGTGGTGAAGTGGTGTCCCCATGCCGGGTGTTGTGGTTTTGCGGTTTATGGTTGTGTTATGATCAATTAGGGGGCACGGAGGAATAGGTTCAGTCAAACTTTTTGCAGAAGTTCCCTGTTTTCACTTGAGTTCACGGACGGATTTTTGAGTTCACGGTCTTATAAGACCGTGAACAGGCAAACGCGTCTGTTAACTGGGTACTGATGCATGTTCGCCAACTGTCAACCACTCCGTTTTCACGGACGCGTTTGAGAGTCCACGGTTGCTAGGACCGTGATCTGGGCAATCCGTCCGTGAACTCTGAGTTGTGCCTATAAAAGGGGCATGAACGGCGACTCTTCACTTCACGACCAAAATCTCGCTAGAAAATTTCAAATCCTCGCTGGAAAACGCGAAAATTCGTCGTTTTTTTATTTTTCCCCATTTTCGGCGAGCAAAACCAAAAACCACGTCATACCCAGTCTCCTCTCCTCAAAACCGGCCTGTGCTGTGAATTTGGGGAGATTTGGAGCACATTTTTTCCGGCCAAGTCACCTGCAGCAAGTCTCCAGTGAACTTCCGACGAAGCTCTGGCGACCCATCTCCGGTCAGTTTTCCAACCATTTTTCACCGTCCTCTCCCGCGCCTCACGTTCTCCCTCGTCCTACTTGAGTCTCCTGGTTTGTTTTTCGACTTCATCTTTGATTTTGGAGAATTAGATGAGGTAGTGAAGCGAGGTTGAATTTTTGTGTATTGCATGATTGAATCTAGATTTAGGACGAGGAATTAGGTGAATTAGGTCGAATGAATGATGGATTGATTTTTGCATGAGCTTAGTGAGCCTTGGTGGGCGTGGTTGAACCGAACTGTGTTTATTTTTAGAATTTGCCCACCAAGTGCTATGTTATGAATGCAAGTGGATGTTTGTTTTTGTTTGGTGGATGGTAGCCACCATGGTAAGGGTTGTGGTTCAATTTCTTGTGTGCTTGAATCGTGAAATACCCACAACCATACCACAGTGGTTTGAGCTTAAATGTTTTATCCATGGTGGAAAAACAAGTGTGGGGGTGATCTCTTTTCCTCCCAATGAGCGGTATATGACAAATGTTTCCACGTATGGTGTATGTTTCTTAGTTGTGCAAGATAGTTAACATGGATCACCCCTACCTCGTGGCGCTAAGGAACAGCCCTGAAATGGAGCGAGAGACGTACTTTTGGGAATCTTTGAGAGTCGGTAACCATTGGAAACTCGACTTTGGGAAGTTCGACAGGCTTCATTGCGCTAACATTATGAGGGAGGCAGTGGTGCACCCACAATGGCGCCAAGCCCTTGATCTTGCAGATGACACCTACGGGGAGCTATGCGTAGAATTTTTCAGCACCTTCACCATACGCAAGAGCTTGTGCCTACTCGGTTATCCAGTACGCTGGGTCGAGTTCCGATTGGGAGGGGAACTTTGCAATTTGAGCTATGATGAGTCAGCCGGAGCCCTCGGAGTGGAAGTCAAACAAGAGGACGAGTGGGAGGAAGATGCCATCCGAAGTTTTGACGTGAATTTCGGGTTTCTTAAGTTTTGTCTTCCAAAGTACCGAAGAACAAAGTTCAAGTCGGCCCTCACAACGGCATCCACACTCCAGCCCCAATGCATGTCATGGTTGCACTCCTGGCTCGTTCCCTCTACCCGGCTTACCACAACTCGAACAAGATAACCGAGATAATCTTATCGGCTTGTTCTTGCATGGTAGACCGGTATAGAACTTTGCACATGGGTTTTAGTCATGGCCACTTCTTTTGCCAGGGCCAATGGTGGAACCCGTCCCTATGCCACATCAATGGGTCTGTACATCACCTGCCTTGCTAGGTACTTCGATATCAGCCTCGCAGGGTGCTCGAAGGAGGGGCTCACCCAAAGATATGACGAGGGCACTTTGCACTCCATGCACTTATTGCGCACCTTTGGCCCAATGCGGTACATCGAGGGCTTGAGTCTCGACCTCAAGATCCCACCAACACAAGAGCAGCCACATGCTCGTGCACCCGGTCGTCGCCTCTAGAAGCAGGCGATCCCGTCGTCTAGAGGGTGGATCGCCTTGAGACGAGCTTCATGGGATTCTCATCCCGCCTCGAGCGGCAGTCTGACATCCTCGAGCTCATGGCTCGACGCCAGGGTATCCTACCCGATGATGGAGAGGGTCCATTCACCGGAGAGAGGTAGCTGACGAGTGAGACATGTGGCAGAGCGGATTCCTTTTTCCCCACTTCTCTACTTGTAAATCTGAATTCGTGTTACTTTTGTTTTTGTTATTTATCTTCATTTTTTGTGTGTGTTTGTGTGACATAAACTACTACTATGTATTGTGCTTGTAATAACCTCGCTTCGAGTGAGTCGTATCGTGCTTGTGTGTGTTTTTTGTCTCTCCTTGAGTTTAAGTGTGTGTTTGTGGGGGGGGGGGGGGGGGGGATTAGTCTACTAGTATGCTTAGTATGCTTGTGTGAGTGTGATGTTGCTTGGAGCTGAAACGACCCGATCCTTTTTGAAAACCAAACCTTAACTCAAACCACAAACCAGTTACTACAGAGCAACCCAAACAACTTTTTAAAATAACTAAACCGACAATGTTGAAGAATTTCAAACAAAAAGGCTAAACACTTGGGCAAATGACAATCCCAATACTTAAAATAATTGAACTCAGAATCTCCAATTTACACTCCTAACCATATAACAAAGAAATTAAACTATTCTAGCTCCGACTCTTCACGAGTTCCTTGACTTCTCATCAATGCTGGTGCAGCTACTCGCCTCGCATTGCCTCTTCTCGAAATCCGCCTCTGCTAACCCTTCCTCGACCTGGTGAGTGAGAAGGGCTCAGTCTAGTCGTTACTTCCTAAGGTCTTTGCCCTAATCAAACTTTCTACTAACACGTTATTAGAGTTTCCTTCCTAGAACGAAAGCCATTCTCGCTTTCTGCTCTTAAATAATCATCCTTACTAAAACACGTTATTCGGGTTCTTGACTTAGACAAAAGCTGTTCTTTCTTTCATCTTCAATAACTTATTTCAACAGTAACTCACGGAAGCTCTCAAATTCTATCCTTAACTTAAACACAAAACGCTAGGACCACTGCGTTACGTCTCGCCGTCCGGTTGTATACCGAAACTCAGCAATGGTACAGTGTTACGTCTAGCCGTCCAGTCCATGCCCGATCAAATATTGCGTTACGTCTTGCCGTCCAGTAGTGACCCAACCCCCCAAGGGTTCCTCTACCATCAATCCATACAACATCACATACATTCATACATCGCACAACGCGTGCCTCCACCCTTACAGGCGGTGGGATGCCTCACACACATATCACGCATTACTCAAAAATTAACTAATTAATAACTTGAACGAAAAGCATAAACTAAAAGACTTACGACATAGATTTTACCCCCTTTACACTCACCTCGAAAAGATGACTCCTCGATTCCTTCTTCGACGAAACCCCTCCTTAGCCAGATTATCTTGGGGAAACCTATTAATAAGAATCCATTTTCTTATACGACCTTTCTTGACTTTAAACCCCTTTTGAATCACTAGAACATCCTCTCCTCAAACTCCAGTCCTCGAGCCTCATTCCAAAGGTCCCTTAACCCCCATTAAAAATTTTATAGAAATAATCCCTTCAAAACCGACCATTTTCTTAATTATTTTTATCTTGGATGAATTTTTCACCTAAGTTGAACCTTCTTAAAATTTTGGATAATAATTTCACATGTTAATCATGAGCACCTATACCCCGGAAAATCATCAAACCCTTAAAAACCGTCGGAAATATTTTTATTTAATTAAAATGAATATTAGAAAAATTTCTAAAAATAGAAATATATCTTCAAAAAATCCCACAAATTAAATTACAACCATATAATAGACCACCCTCAATTTATAAAAAATTTAAACCTAGGAACAAACACTCGCAGTGGCTCGAAACAATTTAAAACATCCAAATTAAGTTTCTGAAAATTCCTAGCAGCTTTAGTGACCACCCAAAATTTGTCATTAAAAGCCTGTAACGCCTGTTGCTAAAAACCTAGAATTGCACCCTCACGAAAAATCTCCAAATTAATCGGCCTAACTCAAAGAGATCAAGTTCCCCTACCTCTAGAACGTGCCTAGGATTAGATTGGGTGACCCGGGATGTTGATCTCCTTGTTGATCGATGATCGAATCCTCAAACGTCACCACTAATAAAATACGAGCTTTGGATTAGACTATCAATGAATCGAGTTTAGAAATCGCGAAGGGGTTCGTGATCCTTTCCTAGAAACACAAAAGGGATGGAATCGGGATCGGCTGCGAGTGGCGCTGCTGCTTAGTTCTTCAGTCGGCGCCGAGGATGGGGTTTTGAGGATTGTGGGGTTTTTGGCTGGGGAATAATTGGGGAAAACGTGGGGAAGTTTATATGGGAGGGGGTTTGGGTTTATTAAAGTGGAGGTCGACCTCTTATGCCGCCCCTCTATTTATATATACTTTTTTTACAAATAATGTTGTAATAATAATAATATTATTATTATTCTTAATCCGCTGTTGTAACTCTTAGTACGTAACCGTCAATCCAACCGATCACGTATCAAGGTCGAACCTAAATCTAAAATACCGGGGTGTTACATTTTCCCACCCTTACAAAAATTTTGTCTCCAAAATTTGCTCAGAATTCGTCCTTCCATCAACACCCTTCTTGTTCTTCCTTCCCACAATCATCTATTCTTACTATAACAGCTGCGTTGGTACCTTTTCGACTTCCTACATACTATGTGTCTTTCTGAACCTTATGTTGGTCAGCTCGCATCCCCGTAGGGTAGGAGCTGCTTTGGACAACCGCTTCTCGCTTATGAAAAGAGTTCACTAAGCGATCCTCTTCGGAATCTCCTCCTCTCCTTTATGAGACATATCATAACCCCGTCGGCCATCCTAAAGTTATTTCCTTATAATGATTAGAGTATACTGGAGATTCTAAAATAATTCCCGAAAGACTCTGAATCGTTTGGCCAAACTTTTAACTAACACTCCCGTTTTCCTTTCCTTTAAAAACTGAACACTTGAAAAACGCAGATGGTCACTCCAGTATTCCTTGGAGACCAAGGAACAGAGGAGTGTCGGCTCTAATACCAAAATGAAACGACCCGATCCGTTTTGAAAACCAAACCATAACTCAAACCACAAACCGGTTACTCCGGAGCAACCCAAACAACTTTTTAAAATAACTAAACCGACAATGTTAAGAATCTCAAACAAAAAGGCTGAACACTTGGGCAAATGACAATCCCAATACATAAAATGAATGAACTCAGAATCTCCAGTTTACACTCCTA